GCGAGCCTCAACGCTGAAGTGGGCAGGGAGGAGTCCCACATACCTTCTTCTCGCTCCCCCAGTGGTTGAAGGACGCGTAAGGCATTTCCCAGACACAGAAAAAAGGCTCCACGGGGTAGTTAGAGCATTGGGTTCATTGAGCGGCATACTTTTCTGCTGTATCCACTATTTCGCGATTGGCTCCACTCAATTTAACATCAAGCGTTGGGTGAGCTAACTTTCCGAGTCTTCAGTTCATTATCATCAGCCTATTAATGTCCCCACTGCTGGGGCACAGGCCTTCCCTATGGATGGAATAGGGAGATTGGGCCATGACCCATCACGCGGGCCCAGTGCGGATTGTTGGGTGCTAACGACTGCAGATGCAGCCGGGACCAACGGCTTAACGTGCCTTCCGAAGCACGGAGGAGCTCGAGATAGTAAATTTTTGGTCACCCATCCAATGACCGACCACTGCGAAAGTTGCTTAAGTTTAACAATCGTAGTCGAACGCGCTAACCACTTGCGCCACCACAGCTCCTCAGTCTTCAGTTATTTGGCCAATTTTATCGACATTTGATTATTAAATTGACAGTATTGACATTTATTAATAATAGTATTTGCCCAAATTATTGACATTTTGTTATTGTATTGATATTTTAATTTTGTAGCATGCTAGACATTTTGTTTAGTCGCCCAATTTTATTGACATTTAATTATTGAATTGACATTATTGACATGTATTAACAGTTTCTGCCCAATTTACTGGTATTTTATTATGATTGTTTTGAAAGTATTGACATACTCGTATTATTTAAAGTGTTTGCCCAATTTATTGTCATTTTTTATTGTTTTGACATAATTGACAATTTATTTTTTGTAATTTGAATGTTAGAATAATAATTATTAATATAAATAATAATTAATTTGTATGCCGATATTGGCACAACATGTGTGTACTTAGCTAATTATCACTGACTATCTTTCTTACACATGTTGTTACAAATAAAATTTCTTTCTTTCATTAAATAAAAGTCAGTCATCTGCCCGTTGCGAAAATTGCTTAATCAGATCACAGTAAACTCAAGATTAAATTTATCATTCGATCTGAATAAGGTCGGCAACCTTCAGTCGTAGGTCGAACCGATTTAATGCACTCACACAAAAATGTCTTCATTCCACTCAGTAAATAGCATACATATATTGCACCGCTGAGTCACCTGTTAGCGACGCGGTCGGCGAGCTCGTGACCCATATGAGCCACTAATCAGCTCAAACCAGACTGGGCTATTTATAAATCCGTTTACTTACGATAAAATTGCGACGGAACACTTTAATCTTCCTAGTTGCCAATAACAACCTTCAGGGCGTATTATTTATTGGTAGGACGACTGATGTCATTAGACTATTTGAAACAGAAAAAAATAACCAATAGGGTATTTTGACATGTTTTAGAAAACGATCTCACGTTATTGACTAATGTTTATGGAGTCCGTAAAAAGTGGATATTCATCATTTTGTTGTGTATTTCAGTAAAAATAACCAAATCAAAAACTCCATTTTCGAGTTGCCGCGAAAACGTTTCTCTTTACAATATGGCGTTTTACTAGTGTGTGACGTCACACGACTGTTATTAAAACGTCAAACGATACAATGCAATGTCACTTTGACCTGAAGTTTACTTGCGTGTGACGTCATTTTAGGCTCCGCCAATCCCAAGCGTTTTGAGTCACGTGACAATAGATAAGAAAACTATTATCTTTTTCGTTAGTTTTTAGTAAAATTATGAATATTTTTCTTGTAAAAATAGTAAAAACAGGGGTTTTTACTATTTGACGTTTTAATAACAGTCGTGTGACGTCACACACTAGTAAGACGCCATATTGTAAAGAGAAACGTTTTCGCGGAAACTCGAAAATGGAGTTTTTGATTTGGTTATTTTTACTGAAATACACAACAAAATGATGAATATCCACTTTTTACGGACAGGCCAGATTGGCAGGGGCCAATATTCATTCTAAACACAGATGCTAACAATTGGCACTTTATTTTTAACACTGTCAAATACCCTATTGTACGCTCACATAGCTTCACAGAGCCGCATTTGCCATAGTTAACCCATGGCATATGTCTTAGATGTTGTTATTGTGGTAAAAACGCTACCACTTTTTTTTAATTTATTTACTTGGACATCAGAAAATTTTAATTGATCTACAAAAAATATAATTGGCAACCTAACCTTAAGCTTACCAATTGTATTTAAGGTGATAATTTTTAGGGTTCCGTAGCCAAATGGCAAAAAACGGAACCCTTATTGATTCGTCATGTCTGTCTGTCTGTCCGTCCGTCCGTCACAGTCACTTTTTACCGAAACTATGAATTATACTGTTGAAACTTGGTAAGTAGATGTATTCGGTGAACTGCATTAAGATTTTCACACAAAAATAGAAAAAATACATATGAATTTGCGCGAGGGACACTTCCAAAGTAGTTAAATGTGCCCCTCCCCCCCAACCCTGTAACTTCTAAAATAAGACAACGATAAAACTAAAAAAAAATATATGATGTACATTACCATGCAAACTTCCACCGATCTCGTTCTAACCATTTTTTTTAATACGTCATAAATCGTAAACCGCATTATGTTATTTACTGCTACGGAACCCTTCATGGGCGAGTCCGACTCGCACTTGGCCGCTTTTATTTTTTTGATGATCATTTCAACATAATTTCTTTTTTAATTACCAATATTACCATACATACTTTTATCTTCATATATCCGACCATATAGATAGATGACCAATGTATCATTTACCTTTACTACACTAAAAACCTTTGTTAAATCCCATAATAATGTTTAGTAATGACTCTCATTACTGTTGAAAGTTTTAGTTTACCGTTTTAAAACTATTTTAAGATTAGATTATGATAATTACTGCATACGAAATGAAATAAGTTACTGTATTTGGTTATAATGGGGATATTTTCATGGTACACCCTAAAATATACCGCCAATTAGAATTTAAAATGTGTATTGTTCAGTTGATTTTATCAAGAGTGCCTTAGAAAAAATAATCTTTTATGTAAATTATGCTCTCACTTGTAAAAATAGGTGTTGTGTTGTCTGATGCGTGAATTTCCGCAGTTCACCTTCACACTACAAGTTATGTTGGATGTTATGGATGGTAGAAACTAAAACGTGCAATACCGTGAATCAGGGTTGCCAACCATATTTTTGACGTGACAACGTCTTAAATTAGGTTGCGGCTGGGAGTCACTTATGAAAAAGTGTAACGCTCGGTAACGTTACGATGAGTTTAAGTTTACATGTACAATGTTTTAGTAAACAAAATATATTTCTATAGTTAAAATTTGTGCAATTCTTATTTTCATTCAATTCCTTGTTCCTATTGTGCAATTTAATTATATTCATATCAATAAATATTCTACCGAGAAAAAGACGTTGTCACGTAAAATCTTCGCCCGTAAAACCGACTTTACAGGCAACCTTTTTTTTTTTCCTCGTACTGATGTAGAAGTTTAGTGTCACTACATTTCGACCTTATTACAAGGTAAACAATATTTTTTATGAAATAATCAGGTTTACAATTATACAAAAATCAATATTAACGAATTACAATAACTAACCATAGACTGGAAAGAAATGTTTTTCCAGTGTAATTTTCTTTAGATTCAAACCTCTGGCAGTTAAAATTAAAAAATATAATAAACAGACCCTGGTATGGATTTTGAACTTACGGTTTATGCTCCAACATGTTGCCTACAATGAAAAATGATGTTATAAATTTATCTGACAAAATCTCGTACACATGTGTAGTGCTCTCGTACCTCGTACGGAAAACCAGAAATCTTTGTACGAGAATTCTCGTACGGTTGGCAACCCTGCCGTGAATAAGTTAAACTACGGTATGTACACGGTACAAATTTATCTCAGCTAAAACTAAGTGCGTTTGGTCTGCGATTGTGGAAGATAGCAATTTTAGCAGCTGTGGTGGTAATATATTTTTTAAAGCGATAATTAGCCGGCAGGCGCCCCGCGCCGCGCCGATGTCGCTCCAAATCGCGAGCGCCGAATAAAATAACAACCTGAGTAGTGTAGCAAAGTCAACATTCATCTTGCTGTTCCGGTGGCACAACAGAATCGTAATTTTGACGAAGAGGTTTTCATCACTGTGAAAAGGAGGAAAAATCTCGTATGTCGCAACCTGCGGCCTTGCGTTAACCGTAACGCCGCTGTACGTCTCCCGCATACACTAATCTAAGAGGACAGAGGAAATAGAGATAGAGTACTTGCGGATCGAGATCAAGTTCTTGCTGAGAGTCGCGAGGTTGGTGCCCCGCCACGATGTGAATTTAACTCATTCGTGGTGAGATTGCCTACCGAACATCTGGCTTTCATGAAGGAAGATCTTTGGCCGAAAGGTATTGTTGTCCGACGGTTCCGAGGCCGGCTATCTGACACCACTCCGCGTCACACACATCGACATCTATGCGTGTTAATTAAGTTTTATTTTACCAACTTAGGTGTTAAGTTTATTTGCTAATAATAATGTTTTGGATCCATATATATGTTAGACTATATGGTATTTATCTATCGACCTACATTGCCTGAAAGGAAATAAATAAAATAAAATATACCCTCCTTTAGGATTCGATCATCTTCTCTACCAATCTCCGTACTGAATGTGTGTGCTTACGACTACAGAAGCAGCCGATTCCTTTAAATTATCACTTTCGATATTGTCATCATCACATCAGTCGTACGACGTCCATTGATGAGCATTGACCTCCCCTACGGATCTTTACACCGATCGGTACAGCGTCACTCACATAAATCGGCTTCCCGCGAACTACACCAGATCATCCGGCCTGCCCAAGTGCCCATTGAACGTCGTTCTGTATATCGCCATTTCAAAACCTTTTCACCCCAACCAACAACCAAACGGTTCTCCTCGCCACGTGTCGCTGACATTCCTTAATAATTTCCTGTATTGTCTTAGGTTGAAATGGCGTGCGAACTCAGGAAGCCGCTGTTTGTTCACGAGAAGGAAGCCCAAGATGACCTGGTGAAGATACTGGATGAGTTTGGATCCCGACTGCCCCCAGTGGTGGTGCACTCGTTCACTGGCTCCGTGGAGCAGGGCATGAAGTACATCGAGAGGGGATATTATATCGGCATCACGGGTAAGCAACTATATTTTTATTATACGCCACCTATCGAATCTCGTGTGAACTAGCACAGAACGGAGCATTCGGCGACTCGGTATATCATGCTTGAACCTCACCGCGTATCACCAAGCGGGAGGGGGGATTTCAAAATGCAACATTTTTAACCCCTCCCTCCCACTTTGTGAAAAAAACATCACGTGATTAATGGACGGCCCCTGACTAATGAAATCGGAAGAAACAAAACTACACGACGCCTATCAGGGCCGGATCGTGAGTTTAGGGGGCCCTGGGCTAATAGTACTTAGGGGCCCACCTAATTACTCAAAGTATAGAAAAAATTAGACAGTAAACTATTTAATTAAAATTATAACATACTATGCCTTAGTGTTATACAATCATTAATAAATGGACAAATTACAAAGAAACTTTTCTACGAAATGCAGAAATGGCAAATTCTTTAATTTGTTCCTACCATTATAGGGGTAATATCAATGGAACTCCATTATATTCAACAATGTATTTTTTCTACATTGAATGTACTTAAAATCATTTTATGTACTGCTTTAGTAAAGTATTTTAATTTTCTTTCTTTAGTGAATCACTAGTTCAGCTTTAGACATCTATTTTGAAAATATTATATCTGCTATGGAAATTCAGCGATTTTGCCGGTCTGAATTTCCATAGACATTTTATTTTAAAAATAGATGCAACAACAACTGTAAAGTTAATTTTAACGTGTTCAAATATCAATGTAGCTGAGGCTGTCTTCTTCTTTTATAATTTCATTTGGTAACGATATTATATTGAAAAAGGGTATATTATTAGTAGGTATCTAGTTGAATTAACTCGCCGATCTATAAGTGTACGTAAGTTCTACAATAATTACACTTTGCGATTATGGAGATGTTTTTGCGCATCACTAGTACATAGACTAAAAATATGCCAATGTTAGTAGGCCATGTTTGCCAACAATTTCGATGATTTCTATATTATTTGACTGTATGAGCCACATATTGTGATTTCACAACATACTTAGAAAAAAAAGAAAGCAAAGTCAATTTATACTGAACAACCAAGCCGAATCACTCGAGTATGGCGAAATCCACAAAAGTGCATCGCCATTTTCCAAAAAGAAGGAAGAAGAAATTAAAATATTAAATCGTAACGTGTAACATTTTTAAGCAGAAGGATTCTTTAAAGCTCAACTTAAATTTGACAACAGTGTATCCTTGTCATTCTCTATACAGAATGAAAAGGATAGACTGCTGTTCAATTTGGTTTTAAGTTAAGAGAATCCTGCCAGAGTTGACACCAATATACTGTCGTAAAAAATCCACCGGGAAATCCCCTTTCCGTTTGATAGAGATGCATTCAATCTGGATCACGATCCGCTACATTCTTCTACATTATTCTCCAAAACAAAACTCTATTTCTCTCTATCCTACTAGTTATAAATAATTAATAATACTAAAAATCAATCATAAATATAGCACGATAGAGATAAGTCTGTAGCGGCAGCCGAACATTTTAACTGTCATATGTCAGTTCGAAGTACCAACACCTGAACGTAGACTTGAATTAAATGGGTTTGATTAATCGTAGGATTCGCAGGGCCGCGAAACCATACGATCTGTTTAATTTAATAAAATTATGGATTCGTTCGCATTATCCTTTATTTTTGCTTTTGACTTGACTTAGCCCTGGAATCCACGGCGCCCTGGACTGAAGCCCAAAAAGCCATATGGTAGATCCGGCCCTGACGACTATAGTTTATATTTTAGTCGTTGCATAGTTTTAGTTCGATGGCGCAGGTGGCTAGCGCATTCGGCTGCGATCGTTGAAGTTAAGCAACTTTCGCAGTGGTCGGTCATTGGATGGGTGACCAAAAATTTACTATCTCGAGCTCCTCCGTGCTTCGGAAGGCACGTTAAGCCGTTGGTGCCGGCTGCATTTACAGTCGTTAGCACCCACCAATCTGCACTGGGCCCGGGTGGTGGTTCATGGCCCAATCTCCCTATTCCGTCCATAGGGAAGGCCTGTGCCCCAGCAGTGGGGACATTAATAGGCTGATGATGATGATGATGTAGTTTTAGTTATAGTTTTGTGTTCATACATCGACCCAAAAGCCTAATTAACCCGACACTACACTGAAGTTATTACAGACGTCAGCCTGTACGAGATTAGTGTCTTTCAAAGAGCTGAATCACAACAAGGCACCAGGTGATGACGGAACTGTTGAGAGGCTATTGAAAGTATTTGATTCCTGCATTATGCTAGGTTGGACCTAACACAATGGTTCACCGTCTTCATGGAGCAGGACCTAAATTAAATTGTGATTGGATACTACATTGGCATCCCGGGTAGGCAACTCTTGAGATAATATCATGATTTTAGAAGGAAACGCAGGAGGAACTGGTGAAGATATTTGTGGGGATATTCTATCAGCAACCCGGTAGCGCGATAGCGTTCGGCTGCGATTGTTGAAGTTAAGCAACATTCGTAGTGGTCGTCATTGGATAGTTGACCAAAAATTTACTATATAGTATATAGAAATTTTTTGACGTTAAATTGTTGGTCTCTATTGCGTCTGCAGTCGTTAGCACCCACCAATATTAAACTGATGATGAATATTGGCACTTCGCATGGTTATTCGTATTTCCTATTTATAAATACGATGACGTCACGAGTCTCCTTGCCGAGTGCATTCAATGTCAGCGAGGTTCAGTGTTACAAATCATTATATATTGCAAATTTGTTTAAAAAAATACGTATCCTTTCCCCGATTTAAGGCAAGGCAGGGCGGTGGCCCAGGGTGGCCCTCACAACGGAGAAAAAAAAAATTCAACGGGTCATCAACAAGGGGCAAATCGTATTTGTGGCCGAGGGCCCAGATTTGAAAATAGAGGCCCCCACACCTTCGTTGCCTTAGGGCCTCTAAATCTGGCCCTGTACGTATCTAAGGCCCACTTGCAAAACAATTTGCTACATTTAGATTCAACAAAAGCTAGCTTAAAAAAAATACGTATCGTATTTTTATTTAAATACGTATTTTTTTAACCCTAGAAAAATGTCAAAACGACAATGCCAATATGACAATTCTTGTATGAGCCTAATCTAGTTTTAGTCAAACATTGATTTAGCAAAATTACTGCAAGTGGACCTTAATCTCGATTCAACCAAAACTAGAATCAATCCATAGAATTACAATGTCAATTTGACATTATTGTATAGGCTAAATCTACACTCGACTGCAAATAAACTGGGCACTTGCTACCACGGAACTCTGATTTGATTTTCTCAAAAAGTATAAAACTTACAACTATCAAAGATTATAACTACAGAAAGCGCGTTTCGTGGTGATTAAAATGAAGTAGAATATATTGAGATTAATCAATTAATTAAATTTTTATTTAAAAGAAATCCAAGGAAGAATCGTTTTCCAATTGTGGTATTCGGAAGTAACGAACGAAGTCAAAATACTCACATCTGAGAAAAATATGGGGAAAAATTAAGGAAATGATAAGAAGTATCAGACTGTCTTCATTTTATAAAAAAGAATGATAATCGCGACTTTATTAAAAAATTAGCAAATTCAATTCCTTTATGGATATGGATATGCACCACAATGTACAAAAAGATCTTAAATTTAAGTTATGACAAAATTGATCATTATGGACCCTGTCGGGCACGCAACTACATGAGAGATAGAAGAGAGGAGTTACATTCAAATATCTGTGATAATTTATATATTGAAAGAGTTTAGGTACTGAATGGCATTATAGGTAATTTATATATGGTATAAGTGGAGATAAAAAAAAATAATAATAGGCGGGCCACTAGTAAAAAAAAATTGTGTTCCAGGGTACTAGCGGTTGACCCAGTTTATTTGCAGTCAACTTTAGTTCTAGTTAAATCGAAACTTAGCATATTTGCTGCAAGTGGGCTTAAGTCAATTCAAAACTATGTTGCTTTTATAATAATAATATCCAATATGTATACCAATTAGCCTAGCCCCAAAGTAAGCACTGTAAGGCTTGTGTTATGGAATACTAGGGTAACGGTTAAAATACATATATAAGTTTATTTCTATATTAATATGTACATATTAAACATCATACTGGAGTACAAATGATCGTATTCATCACACAAACATCTGCCCCCGCCGGGATTCGAACCCGGGACCTCTCGAGTCGGCGACACCATGAAACCCGGCGTACAAACCACTCGGCTACGGAGGTCGTCGAATATGATAAAAAAGAATAAGTTTCCTAAGACCATTAGGCCCCAGCTTATCAATTTCTTTTCTTCCCAGGGTACATCTGCAAGGATAAGTCAGACGGCGGCATCCGGCGGTTGCTTTCGGAAAGAATGCTGCCTCTGGACCGATTGGTTGTGGAAACCGACTCCCCGTTCATGTACCCCAACATGCGCGCCTCCAAACTACCCCTGCATGTTAAGGACTCGCTGACGGAAAGGTAAGGCATATTACATGTGCATACTTTAAACATACATGTGCATACTCGAGGAGCTCGATGGCGCAAGTGGTTAGCGCGTTCCGCTGCGGTCGTTGAATTTAAGCAACTTTCGCAGTGGTCGGTCATTGGATGGGTGACCGCAAATTTACTATCTCGGGCTCCTTCGTGCTTCGGAAGGCACGTTAAGCCGTTGGTCCCGGCTGCATCTACAGTCGTTAGCACCCACCAACCCGCACTAGGCCCACGTGGTGGGTTAGGCCCAATCTCCCTATTCCATCCATAGGGAAGGCCTGTGCCCGAGCAGTGGGGACATTAATAGGCTGATGATGACTTTAAACAAGTTTTATATTACGAGGCATATCCAGAAAGTAAGTGTACTGAATTTTTGTAGGGTACAATTTTTTTTATTGAAACAAAAAAATACATGGTCACCGTAGTACATATATAAGGTATTTCTCGGCATAGTCGCCATTCCTCTCAATGCAGGTAGTGAAGCGGGGTATCAACTTTTTGATACCTTTCTCGAAGTAATTTTCCGCCAAACCCCTTCGTCCACTTTCCACCTCCTCCTTTACCTACCCGTCGGTTGAAAACCTTTTTTCACCCATGTGAAAATACTATGTTAATTTGACAGTTAGACGCGATAAAAAAATGTGATATAATGTAAATTGTGGTGCTCATTATACGTGGACATGTACATCAAACAAGCAATTCTGACCAATCTTTTGATTAACACTACTTGTTGTTCACCCAAGGTCGATGAACTTCGTGAACCGCTATTGCACGTTCCAACGCAACGAGCCGTGCGCTCTACCAGCCATAGTTGAGTTAGTAGCAGGGTTCTTAGGGCAGAGTCCTGAGGACGTTGCCCTAGCTACTGCCTTCAACGCCCTGAAGATCTTCGGACTGAGCCAGTGAGTAGCATTAGTCAGCTACCCGGGAGTTGCAGGCAAATTAGTATTGTGAAAAGTAATGAAAAAAGCTTTACATTGTAGTTAAATTATTTGCATTTGTATCGAGGAGTGTGGTTTATTTTCTGTTTAATGTCGTTTTGAACTATTGTAAACTAAGGATTTTGCTTGTCGTATAAATACGCCACTAGCAAATTGTTTGTCAGATATATAAGACTAAATCGGTTACAATACATGTGAGTTCTTTCTTTCGGAAGCTTTATTACAACACAGACTTAGGCCAGTATTATAGAAAGATTCTCAGTGATTGAGCTTCTTGAGCATAGTTAGAAAGGGATGTCGCTATATATAGCACATAGCGACATCCCTTTCTAACTGTACTCAAGTGAAGATCAACACTTAGTTGTCATTCTGTAATACGGGCCTAAAACTCGAATGAATGTAGGATAAACATAGTTTTGCCAATTATATTTTCATCCGTATCGTCAAGTTTATTACGAGATCTAATTGTTTGAACAAATATAATGTTACATTTTCTGATAGTTTTTAACTTAAAAATATACAATTAATTTGCCTGCAACTCGGAAATGTCACAGGATAACGCTTGCCAAAGTCGCATTGTAGAATTAAGTTATCAATTTGGCCCTCCCACTTGTGTCTTGTCGTGTTGTGATGTAAAAACTGACAATAATATAACTAGTAGACATAGCAAATTAATGCATTGCCCATAGGGATGGTTAGCGAGATTTTAAATCATTAATACTAATATAAACAAATGAAAGGGCCAAATTGATGGTAAACATAAATCAAAATCAAAGAATTGAAAAATATATAATGGCCTTGGGGCTTTGTGCCTTATGTCTATGGAATGGAAGGTGATATTCCCGTGATGGGTACTTATATATTTATATATAAAGTAATGGTTTCTTCAAACGTCATCCCACTGTAAATTGGAAATACTCAAAAATGTATTGGAAAGCATTCTCATCTTTATAACAATCAGGTTAGTTTTTAATTGAAAGAGGCTGAATTGTACTAACCATATTAATTTTAAAAATCTTGCCATCGATTAATGATTACAGTAATTTTAAAACATACTCGCCTCTAAAAAGAACGAAATATTTGAAACAATCGAAAATGTGTTTGTTATGAAAGAAGTTTCATCACTGGAGCAGCTATTTTTTATTAAATTTTGATTTTGCAAAATCAAAATGGAACGAAGTGTTTTTTTTAATGCGAACGGCGTACCTGAACGCTCGAAGTCTATTTAATGCCATTTTGATGAGAGAAAGCATAATATTTTGATGACGTATTTGTTTATGGTTAAGATTATTTTTGTCTATGACACATGTTTACTTTGGCTTATTGTTAGCGGATTGTGTTGCACTTGCCTTGTTAGCTATTTTAAGTGTATATGGTGGCAATGTTCCGGATTATAGTCGATGTGATCTCATCCATAATATGAAGTGCGTTGAATGAATGAATGAATAAAAAAATTCAACATTTTTTTCGAATCATTCGCGAAGAATTTATTCGTTATTGTTAAAAATTGTAACATTTGTTAAGACTCGAAGTTTGCGGTTGATTCGTGAAAAGTGTTGCCATGCAATATATGCTGTTATTGATGTAGTTATAAAGGCGATTTCTACTTGAAACATGATGCAGAAAGCCTTTATATGGCAGAGGCCTTTATAATTGTTGTATTTTATGAAATGTTGTGTATTATTTAATGAATATGACAGTTTTTAAAGTAGCAACATGTTTCAAGTAGCATGCGCCTGCGCAGTTAGTGAGCGCAATATGACAGTTCTATATGCCTTTACCAAATTGCCATTAGTATGTTATTTTCATGTACGTTTTTTTTATTCAGTGAATATAATAATAATCAATTGCCACTGTATTGTCTTTCACGCACGGTGTTAGGTGTCTTGTATGTAGTAACTTCGCTCTGCGCAGAGCATTCCTAATCGAATAATTAAAAAGCAACTATTATTTCGTCGAATATTTTGTAAATAGTTATTAAAATGTTAATTATTCTATTGTGTATTATTATGTAAATGTTAATGCTGGTAGTCACAACGAAATCAAAGACTGCAGGTATTAGAGATGTGAAATTTGACATTATGAATATTATTATGACGTTTCTTTTTGTAATGTTTTTGTACGTATTTAATCGTTTATTGTGTAAGGGTATTATTGTTATTGATTCCTTTATTTTTTGACAATCACTTTGTTGTAGTTTGTAAGGCGTTCGGACCCCGGTTATGTAAAAATGAACAGAATATTTATATTTGTAATTATTATACATAGTGTCGACTCTATATTTGGGCACATGAAGCTTAATTTATTGTAGACTAGTAGATTATATTTTCTAACTGATTTGTATACAACGAGAAGGGTCCGTTGTTAATTAGTGCCTTTCGACAAACGTCCTTTGTGATAAATAATATATTCTTATAATGTACAGATTATATCTTTCAATATACAAATGTAAAAAAAAATGTTGTTTGATTGTAGAATAGTCTTGTTACTAAGGAACTTTATGCTAAATCGTACGTGCTGATCAGCGTTGCCATACGTCCCGATTTTTAAATCAAAATTTAATGTCCCGCGCGGGACAGGCTCAATCCCGCTTTTCGGGAATAACTCGTCCGTGCGTGCAGCGTACTGAGAAAGCGCGGGCGAGTGCCACAGACAAGTGTGGACTGGCCGCCTGCCCGGCGAGTAATGAAGAATTCTCTCTGGGTCGGCGTGCGGGGAGTCTGGTCTGGGCCGGTTGGCCCACTTCAGATGTAGCGGGCTCGCGTCTCGACTTCGGGACGAGACGGTCAGTTGGGGCTGTACCCCCGCCTCCGCTTCTTCACACGTCGCCCTCGGCGCGGTCAAGCCCACCGGGTGAGACCCATGAGGGAGGCCCAGTGAGCGACCAGCGAGCGGGCGACGGACTTCAGCGGGCAGGGGTAGTGTCGTGTCCGGGGGTAGATGTGAAAAAAGTTCTGCCAGTCTGCCCGAACTTTATGACAAAGTCCGTGAGCAGAACTGTGAGCTGTTGTACCAGTTGGGATGTCGCTTCTTGGTGGTGGTTGCCATCTGTGGGTGGTGGGTTGCCATCTTTGGGTGGTGGGGCTGCGGGGGACGTGTTCGTCGGCGAGGCATCGCTCGCTCGACGACGTCTGCGGTGGCGCCGTTTGGGGCTGCTGGTGTTCGAGGGAGGAGCATTCGCGGGGGCCATCAGTGTGGCCGGCGCGTGCTCACTCACCTCGGCTGGTTGTTGCATGGGCGCGGTGGGTAGGCGGCCGGTGCGGGCCACTGTTGTGGCGCGGCGATTGCGCGCCTCGCGCTGGAGCGCGGGGCCGGGTGCGCGCCCGCGCAGTTCACGCAAGTGGCGGGCTGCGCTAGCGGGCGGGGGCAGTCGGCGGCGGCGTGCGGGTCACCGCAGCGCACGCAAGCAAGCGCGCGGTGACAGCCGAGGCTGGAGTGGCGGAACCCCTGGCAGCGGTGGCACTGCGCGGGGGCGTTCCTCCTTCCTCTCCAGGCTTCGATAGTGATCCCGGACATACTCAGGAGGTCACTCACTGAGTAGATGGCCGGGATGAGGTCTGGTGTTCGACGAAACGAAGCGAAGTATAATGAGCCGGGGCGGCCTGCTCGCGCCCGGATCTGCTTTGTGTACTCGATCTCAAAGCCCTTTTCTGTAAAGGCCTTGACGATGTCATCATGGCTGGTGTCCACAGGTAGCCCACGGATGGCCACCTTTAGGCTGCGGTCTTCTGGACGAGCGTGGGCGTACCAGCTCAGTCCGGTCTGCTCGGAGAGGTAGGCCCGAACGAGCCGGCCCTCGTCATCGTCCTGCGGGGTGAAACGTACGCCCGTTCCGAACGGACGCACGCTGGGAGCTCGGCCGAGTTGGTCGTGTATTGCGCGTAGGTGCTTCGGCCAGTCCCGCAGCTGCTCGACCACGATCGGCGGGTGTTTGCGGACCCGTGGGAGCGTGGGAGTGCTGCGGGAGGCCGACTGCGCGGTCGACACGGCGGCGGGTGATGCGGCGGTAGGTGCGATTTTTTTCTCTGCGAGGTGGGTAGGCGCAAAAATTTGCGCGGCCTGGGCATAGCTTACCGACTCGGTGGGTGTCGGTAAAGCAGTTGGCGGTTCGATCTCTGGTTGTTCGTGGGCGGCGGGGGCAGTCTGTTGCTCGGGCTGGTGTTCCTCCTTCAAAGGGGTCTTCACCGGTGCAGGTGGGGAGGTGCGGAACGTTACCGGGGAGTCGCCACAGCTGCGGGAGCGGCTAGGGCGCTCACCGCGCGGGCGTCTGGCGCGGGGTTGCGCCTCCTCCGGTTTCGGCGACCTCCTGGTGCGGATGGGCTTCATCACGAGGGAGTGTGCGTGTGGCGGCGGGAAAATGAGCGGCAGCTTCATGCCCTCATTGTTGTGGTTGATGTTGACTTTCTGTCCGAGGCCATAGTTGGTGGAGGAAAGTTCGTCCCACTCCATGAGGCGGACATAGCACGATATCCAGCCCGCTAATCCTTCGGATATTAATCCGGAGTCAATGAGCCGCGCGGCCATCGACGCGTCCAATTCATATTGGACGCGCGGTGATTGCCACGCGTACACCAAAGCACAATAGCGGGCGCAGCTACGTGCCATCTCCTCCTCGGTTGGGATAGGTTGGGGCTGGTCTTCGTCCATTGCAGCGTGTGGGGCTCACGTCGGCGCGACCTTGGCCGAGCTGCGCCTTGCGGCGTGCTCAGGCCTGCAGCTGGGAGGCGCGGTAGTCCCCGCTGGCGCGATGGCGCCAGGCAGTGCTCGCGGAGCGTAAAATCCAATTTTACGTTGGAGCACTTTCGTGGGAGGGTAGGTCCGTGCGCGATCGTCGTGAGTGCGGTCCTCCATGAAGAATTCTCAAACAAAGACAACTATTTAACGAAAGATTTACCATCTGATTTAAAATATCATATTTTTATTAAAATACATTTTCTATAGATATTTTTACTCGGTACTTATAATCTATTGTCACGTTAACGTACTTTGAACTCAAATAAAAAGATACATACAAGGGCGGATCCAGCTTTGGGGCCACGGGGGTGTCATATGAGTCGTATAGTATCAAAGGCGGCAAAGTAGGGCGAACCAAATATTTGGCAAATCAAAAAAAACTGTTTAATCTCGTCTTTAAGGGAGGATAAAATATTGACATTTCACTACGATTTGTAGTTATGATGAATGTCAATTAAAAAAATCGTCCTTTAAAGACGAAACTAAACAGTTTTTTTTTGATTTGCCAAATATTTGGTTCGCCTACTTTGCCGCCTTTGATACTATACGACTCATATAGTAGTGGTCAAGTCACAGTGGGTACAGATTGTGAAGTAATGATTATTAAGTGGGTACAGATGGACCCAGCCCAGGGAAGGGGGGGGGGGGGTCCTGACCCCAATGACCGCCCCCCTGGATCCGCCCTTGGATACATATACAAAAACTTTTGATTATATAAGTTTTTTACTATGTTCCGCTTTCGACGAAATAATCCCGCTTTTTTCACTCAAAAAGTTCCTAGTCCCGACTTGGCAAAAAAAACTGGCAACGCTGGCACGGTAATATTATCTATACAGTATTGTGACTCCGCCCTGCCCTTGAAATAAATGCCTACAGCCGAGCGCTGCGTGAGCACGCGGTAGGGCCGCCCGCCTACAGTATTTTATGTAGTTTTGTTTTTAACGCGAGTGTAGGTAGATTACTCGTTTGTCTCTTTTTTCATCCTAACCACTTATTTATATATTATTCCAGATATTTTGACCGATGGAAAAACCGAAATACCTAAATATTAGAAACAAATTACGTACTAGTAGATAGGTATATAAAAAATATTCTATAAAGGTAAGACACCTTTCCAATATTTCAGGTAATTTAAAAAATGATATCTCTGGGTGTGTTATTGAAGAGTTCAAGCAACCAAAAACAGCAATTGTGCTGTTGTACGATATTGATCGTCGTTTGTTCTTTTCCATACTAAATTATGTAGATATCTACTTAATTAAATCAAATATTAACAATACAAAACGCACGTTTAAGCACGGCTAAAGCCCGTCACAGACGTAGCTATAATATATATTAATATAAATCATAGCAAGACATATTACAACATATTTTCAATATAAATTTTCGAGTGACCGCACACGCAGCTATAATATATATATTTCTATGACGTCACCAAAATATGTCGACAGATATATTTTGGCATATTACTGTATATTTTGGTATATTAATATGTATTTTGATATATTAATATATATTTTGATATATTTTTATGGTACGGTATGTTCCATTTTTCACCGAACGCCTGCCAAAATATATATTATAGTACAGCACCCGTCTGTGGTAGTTTGTTTAATAAAATATCTCGATATATGAATATATATTATAGCTACGTCTGTAACGGGATATATTTTGGCATATTAGTATATATTTTTAATACGGAATGTTCAACTTTTCACTGAACGCCTGCCCGATCTCCGGCTCAAGCCCATCACAGACATAGCTATAATTATATATTAATATGAATCATAGCAAAACATATTACAACATATTTTCAATATAAATTTTCGAGTGACCGCACACGCAGCTATAATATATATTTCTATGACGTGACCATAATATGTCGACAGATATATTTTGGAATATTAGGGTATATTTTGCCATATTAATATATATTTTGATATATTTTTATGATACGCGATGTTCCATTTTTCACCGAACGCCTGCCAAAATATATATTATAGTACAGCTCCCGTCTGCGGTAGTTTGTTTAATATAATATCTCGATATATTAATATATATTATAGCTACGTCTGTGACGGGATATATTTTGGCATATTAGTATATATTTTTAATACGGAATGTTCAACTTTTCTCTTAACGCCTGCCCGATCTCCGGCTCAAGTGCGCACGAGCATTTCTCCCCCACCCTCCCTCTCCTAAAATACTGTGCAAATTTATTGGATGACAAAACACGATACAAATTAAATTCACCACAAGTTTTCTTTTGTTTTATATGCGACTCTACCCAGATGGTTATATTTTTCGTTCTGACAATGCAACATGCATATCAAATTCAGCATCGGAATCATCCTCTGAGGAAGTTTCAATTAAATCTAAAAGTAGTGTTCTTGTCGAATTCATTTCATTCATTCATTGTAAGATTGATTATAACGTTATTTCAAAATTAAAACACCCTGTGCTAGAAAATAAGCTTTAAAACCGTGCGCTTGCAAAAACGACCGCAGACCGAGTGAGGGCAAAATATATATTATAGTATAGCTCCCGTCTGTGGTAGTTAGCGATAATATAATATATATTTCGATATATTAATATATATTATAGCTACGTCTGTGACGGGCTTAACTGCATAAAAAACAATTCAGACCGTTCGGTCGTCGTTGCGGCGCGGCGGCGCATTCGCGACTGGGTGCACGCCGAGAGCACATCGAACTCGAGTGGCGTA